GGCTCTGTGCCAGTCCTGGAGTCGCTGCCAGCAGAGGAATACGCCAAAGTGATGATCACCTTCACCATCGCCTTCGTGGCCGTGCTCGTCCTCAAGGTAAAAGGCTCTGAGGCACCCCCAGGAAATCCAGCTGGAATTCTCTCCCAGCTCTGCTCCCCTGGGCGCGGTGGGAGCCGCGACTCCGGATGCCTCATCCAGAATTAACACAATTCCCCGCGCTGGTCCCTGCGTCCACCAGAGATCCCAAACCTGGGGGCTGGTTTGGGCTGGAGGCACCTTTGGGTTCATCTCACCCCTGCCATGGCAGGAACATGTGGGTTAGGGTTAGGGTTAGGGTTAGGGTTAGGGTTAGGGTTAGGGTTAGGGTTAGGGTTAGGGTTAGGGTTAGGGTTAGGGGTTAGGGTTAGGGTTAGGTTTAGGGTTAGGGTTAGGGTTAGGGTTAGGCTTAGGGTTAGGGTTAGGGTTCGGGTTAGGGTTAGGTTTTGGGTTTGGGTTTGTGTTTGGGTTTGGGTTAGGGTTCCACTTCCACTGTTCCAGGGTGCTCCAGCGTGGCCTTGGGCACTGCCAGGGATGGGAGGTGGGCAAATATTCCAACAATCTGTGTCTCACTTTGGAATCCTAAATCCAGCACCGCAGGGACAAGCAAGAAGAAATTGAGTGGAATAAAACATTCCTTGCGTTTTTTATTTATTTCAAAACCAATATCAGGGAGTGCATTCCTTGGGCACCTCCGTATTTTCCTGGAATCACATGACCGGATGGGTTCCGCCATATTTTCCCAGGATCACGTGACCACATGGGCGCCACCATATTTTCCCAGAATCACGTGACCACATGGGCACCACATTAATTTCCCTGGAATCACGTGACCTGATGGGCACCTCCATATTTTTCCGGAATCAGGGGGTGCCCTGGGCTCTGCCATGTCAGGGAACGCCAACCTTTCCTGCATGAATTTTATTTATTTTTTAGATTAACTGGGGTTTTTTCATGGATGAGCAGAGGTTTTCACCCAGTTTCTTTGGTGGCTCCAGATTTGCTCTCTGGACGAAGAGGCTTTGGAAGCAAGGAAGGATTTTGCAATATTCTCCAAAGATGCTCAAAGATTTGATTTACCTCTGATCTCTGGAATGCCGAGATTGATTTTTTCAGCTCAGATATTTCATTCCTTTTTTTCTCTTTGTCTTGGCTTCGTGTCAACACAAACAGCCCTCATTGTCCCGGGAATGCTCAGCTGCCCAGCCCGAGTTTTGGGATCTGTGGCTCCCTGTGCTCCCTGAAAATCCCAACTGTTCCTGAGCCTATTCCCAGGCCAACACAAACACCAGGCACACGACTCTGCCGTGCTGCTCGGAGCAGGGAAAATATTGATTTAACAGGGCCAGTCCCACAGACCCCGCTTATTTCCCTGGGCCACAACCCCTCAATAAATCCTTTTTCCTCAGAAAAGCTCCATTTATTGCATGGGTAAATCCATGGGGTGCCAGGAGGTCCTGTCAGGGAGGTGCAAAAATGGGATTTTGCTGAATGAAGGGATTTTTGGGGCAGTCCTTGAAGCTCTGTGGTGCCTCTGGTGCTTTCCTGAGGCATCCAGACTTTGTCACCTGCTCCGAAAAATGACATCAGAGCCACGAGTTCCTTTCCTACCTGGGGATATTTTGATCTTAGAAGCCTCAATGTTGTGTTTTAATGGATTTGCTGTTTAATCACTTTATATTTACTGGATTATTGATCCCAGGCCCACCCCAGTCCTGTTCTGCATTCATGGAATCGTCACATCCCTAGGGAAGGATGGAAACACACATTTAAGACCCTGGGATCGCGGTCCCAGATTTCTCCCTCCAGAGAAAAGAGCAGGAAAATCGCAGGCTGGTGGCAAAAGTGGAAATTCCCTCTTTGCCCTGCAGTGCCATGGGAAAAATTCCCTTTCCTTTCCCTTTTCTCTCTTTTCCAGGCCTACATGTTCCAGTGTGTCCTGAGCTGCTTTAAGTACATCAAAGCCAGCAGGAGGGAGGAGGTGAAGGCAGAGCCACAGGCAGTGGAAAAGGTGAGGAAAAGTGAATTTACTCCTGAAAGTGGAGCCACAAGAGTGGAAAAGGGGCATAAAAGTGAAATTATTCCTGAAAATGGACTCAAAAGCAGTGGGAAAGGTGAGGAAAAGTGAATTTATTCCATGAACAGGAATCCTTTAGATTGGTGATCCTTATCTCTGCTGTTTTGGGATCAGAGAGAATTTCCAACCCTTTAAATCCCCGGTAGCAAGCGCTAATAATCAGTTTTTAATTACAATATATCCATTTAATTTTACTTCTGCATAAAATCTTTTAAGGCTATATTCAAGGAAGGTGAAACTCAGGCATGGCAGATAAATGGGAATGAATTCCCTGTGATCCCTGACCCAGGAATTTGGATTGAATTCCAGATGGAATTCCATAGCTCAAAGTGTTTAAAATCAGCTTTTTCCTCACCTTTCTGTCTGAGAGTTTTGAATTTTCAGTGTTGTGAAGATGGATGGGAGGGAAAGAGGGAGGGACAGGGAATGCTGAGGGCAGGGAATGCTGGGGCTTGGCTTTTATCTTGGCAAATCTGCTGAGCCAGATTTGCAGTGGTGCCCCAGCTGTGCCTCTCTGAAATTCCTCAGCTTTCCTTGGGAATGAGGTTGGGATCCTGCACCTTCAGGAGCCTTGGGCCATTTTTTGTCCAGGGAATGGGGGTGGCACTGGCACAAGGTGGATCCAATCCCTGCTGCCCCCAGCTCTGCTGGATTCCTGCCCTTTGTCCCTGCCCTGAAGCAGGCAGAGGAATGCTCCAGGATGAAATCCATCAAATCCCTGTGTTCCCATCACCTTCCATCTCTTCCAGGCCGTGCTGCCGTCCTATGAAGAAGCCCTGGAATTGCCTTCCAAGGATTCCCTCCCTCCCTACATGTCCGTCTGAGCCCAGCCCAGGGGAGAGGCGGCACTGGCTGCTGCTGTGCCTCTCCCCTCCTGGCAGAGCCCAGTCCCTGCTCCAGAGCAGTTCCCAGCTTTTTCCAGACCCTGCCAGGGAACTGCTGGGGTCTTGTCCTGCTCTGGCATCTCCATTTCCCATCTCTGGTTCCCATCCCTGGGAGCTGGGATTTGGCTGCTGAGGATGCTGAGGATGATGAGGATGATGAGGATGCTGAGGATGATGAGGGTGCTGAGGATGATGAGGATGCTGAGGGTGCTGAGGATGATGAGGGTGCTGAGGATGCTGAGGATGCTGAGGATGATGAGGGTGCTGAGGATGATGAGGATGCTGAGGGTGCTGAGGATGATGAGGATGCTGAGGATGATGAGGGTGCTGAGGATGATGAGGATGATGAGGGTGCTGAGGAAGGTGCTGAGGATGATGAGGGTGCTGAGCCCTGCCAGCTCAGCTCAGTGCCACCAGGATCCTTCTCCTCTGGCTCAGCCCTTTAGGAAGTGGGATTAAGGGATGAGCAGGGAAGGAATTTTCTCTGGGATAAGCGAGCCCTGCAGCTCCGACAGCCAGAATTCCTACAGAAAAGGGATCAGCCAAAACCCCCCAGGAATTGCAGCTCTCCCCCTGTCTGCTTGTGATGATTGACAGCGACCCAGAATATCCAGCTCTGCAGTTTCATACTCGAGTGGGTGCGTTTTTCTGTGCTTTTGTGGGACTTGGAAGACGAGTTTCAATTAAAATAAAAACCGTAATGGCTTCCAAACTGTGAGTCTGGTTTCTGAGGGTGCCTGATTGCTGAGTGAAGGAAGAAATTATTTGATTTATAAAAAAATGAGCGAGCAAAAAATGGTGCTTTGACCTTGGCCTGATCTTTTCTCGTGTTTGTGCTGCTTGCAAAGGAAAAGCTGATATTTCTATTTCAATTTCCTCTCAAAATCTGCCTCTCTGCCTTATCACCAGTGATAAGGAGCCGTGGCCTGTTCAGCAGTGAGTCTGCACAGCTCAGGCCCTGCAAATGTCATTGATGTCCCTGGAATTCCACACCTGCTCCCCCTTTGGGATCAGTTCCTGCTCATTTCAAACATCTCAGTGTGAAAAAAGAGGGGTTTTCTCAGTCTTTAGCAAAGTCTCCATCCCAGCCTCATGCAGAGCTTGGATCACAGCTCCGAACCAGCACAGCCCAGGCTTCAGTGCAATACTGAACAGCAAACTTCAGTGGAATATTTGCAGAGGATGAATGAGAAATGCGCTGCTGCCCCTGCTCTTGTCACTGGATGTGCCTTTCTGGAATGGGGAGAAGGTTGGTTGTGTATTTTCCAGCTGATTTTCCCATCTAGGGGAGAGAATTCCATTTTTCTGCGCTCCATCTCCTTGTTCTGGGCACCAGGATGCTCCACAGCAGACCTGGAGTCTGGAAATGACATCTCAGTAGCTCCAGTGCTTTTAAACCCCCAAAATCACAAAATCACCCCCAAAAAGCACAAACCACTCGTTTTCTGCCCCCACCTCTGCCAATTGTTTAACCAAAGAGCAAGAGAGTGACCCAAAATCCGACCAGGAAACCTTGCAGGACAGATTACTGCAGCAAGGCCCAGCCCAGCCTCCTCCTTTATTCTGTGGACAGATTAAAAATGATTTTGAATTATGAATTAAACTGGTTGCTGAACGTTCCACACATCCCTTGCTCAGGCCGATCCCTGTGAAATCAGTGTGACCCATAAAACACACAAACAAGGCCCAGCCATAAACAGCTTTTGCTATTTCCAGCAGCAGCCCCAGGGATATTTGCCAGCCCTTTGCAGCTGGAAGGATAAACAGAAATTCCTTTGATCCTGACTCGGTGCAGGGGTTATTTTCAAAGCCACTCCTGCCTCCCCAGCATCATCTGTTGGATGCTTTGCTCTGCCCCCACTGCTGTCATTCCGTGTTGCCAGGGTGGGAAATGGGGATGCAGGAGGTTGGGAGGGGGTCCCTCCATCCCTCAAACCAAAATAAAGACATTAGGGGGGTAAAACACAAGAATTGGAGCTTTTGTCATCATTTCTCTGCGGGGTGAAAAGTGGAGTGGGAATCCAGCTTGGAGCACTCACCTGGAACATCAAAGGGAGCCAGAAATAGGCAGAAGTTTTGGAGCATTTTGTAAAACCTTGGAGCTTTCTAGAGGCTGGAGGGCAGCAGAGCTGTGTTTACTACAAGTCCCAGGTTTGTTTGGAATGAAATAAAAACCAACAGCAAACAACTCAGAGTTTGGCCGCTGCTCCCTTCCCAGCCTTTTTATTCTGCCTCACCTGTGGAACTCAGGCACCCTCCAGATCCCCTGGGAGAAGAATTTCTGGTCCAGGGCTACAAAAAATAAAGAAAAATCCAGTGTGTAACTCGTGGCATTGCTCAGGTTGGAAAAAGCCTTTAAGATCCTCATGTCCAGCCACGGCCACCACTAAACCACATCCTAAAGTGCCCAACCCACACATTTTTTGAGCAGTTCCAGTTTGACTCCATCACTGCCCTGGGCAGTCTGTGCCAATTCCTGACCACCCTTTCCATGATGAAATTTCCCTTAATGCCCATTCAAACCTCTCCTGGTCCAACCTGAGGTGATTTCCTTATCTGGCCTCCACTGGAAGTTTGGGAACATCTTGAGATTCCTGATTTCCCTTTTTCCCTTCCCATTTTTCTGGGTCATTTCCATGGCAGTGCCTCAGGGACTGCTGCTGCATTTTGATTTTAACGCTTGGGCTCGCTGCAGGGTGAAATTTATAGCGAGACATTAAATGCAATCAGGGGGTGTTTATTGGAAATATGGAAATCCCAAGCTCAAATTCAGTTTTGAACTAAAACTTGAGCAGAACGAATGGCACGAGTGCGGTGCCGCCTCTAAACAAGAGCTGTCAGTCCCCTGGAAAATCCAGTCTTGCTTTCCCTGGCTGTTCCCAGCTGCTCAGCATTCCTGGGAAGGGCTGTGATGGAGGAAGATCTGCATTTACATTGTTTATTTGTTCACTCTGGAGTCTTGGAGTCACAGAATTCCTCAGGCTGGAAAGGACCCCTGGGATCACCAAGTCCTTCTGTCACCCAGCACCACCAGGGCCACCACTGGCCACGTCCCCAAGGGCCACCTCCACACCCTCTTAGGACATTCCAGGGATGGGGACCCACCACATCCCTGATTCCACCTGAGCCAATGCCTCACAGCCCTTTCCCTGAGAAAATGTTCCCAAATATCCCCCTGAGCTCCCCTGGCCCAGCCTGAGGCCGTTCCCTCTCCTCCTGTCCCTGTTCCTGGCAGCAGATCCCAAATCCCCCCGGCTGTCCCCTCCTGCCAGGGACTTGTGCAGAGCCAGAAATTCCCCCTGAGCCTCCTTTGCTCCAACCTGAGCCCCTTTCCAGCTCCCTCAGGAATTCTCCAGCCCCTTTCCAGCTCCCTCAGGAATTCTCCAGCCCCTTCCCAGCTCCCTCAGGGATTCTCCAGCCCCTTCCCAGCTCCCTCAGCAATTCTCCAGCCCCTTCCCAGCTCCCTCAGGGATTCTCCAGCCCCTTCCCAGCTCTGCTCCCTTCCCTGGACTCGCTCCAGCCACTCCATGTCCTTCTTTTCCAAAACTGCCCCCAAAATTCCAGGTGTGCCCTCACCAATGACCATCACAGGGGATTCTGAACCTTTTGCCTTCAGCAGGAGCAAGATGGGAACAGAATTTTCCGGTTCTCCATCAGTGAAGGGGAAGTGTGGATTTGGTGTTTGAAAGCAGCACCTTTGGAGTCAGGATCCATGGATTTGAGGGCTTGGAGGAGAGGCCAGGACACGTGAAGGCCACAACAGCAGCAGGGCCACGCTGGGGCCAGCACGGGCCGTCCACGGTTCCTGTGTTTACCTTGCAGGCTGGGGAAGAGCTCGAAATGCACATTTTCCTCCTGAAATATTGACTCCAGTGTTCTCCTTCTCGGGGGCCTGGGGAGAAATGATGTTTCATATTTTAAAAATAAACACTGCTTTTCCAGAGGCATCAATGCAGCCCCAGAGCTCCCAGCACACCTTTGCCTCTCGCCCTCTTTCCAAGGCTTTAATGCTGCTTATGTGCCACAAGCTCTGCTGGTGAAAATTCCCACCTGAAATGTATTTATCTTTGCTAATTAACAGCAGAATGACACAGAGAAACTTTATATTTTCCCCGCAAGAACAGCCATAGAGGCTTCATTTATGGAGGAGTCTGAATGATCCCCATTCACGGGCAGCAAGTGCTGTCTGCACCAAGAGATCCTTGTGTGCAGGGCAGGAAAACAGAAAAACCCCAGCCCAGACGGGTCCTGGGCAAAATCTCCCAAATTTCAGGTGTTATTTCACTCTGGGCCCTGATGGTCCATAAATGGGTGGGGCAGGTTTAGGAGTTTGGGGAGCAAGCTGTGTGTGTGAACACGGGAGGGGACTGCTGTGTTTGCACTGCCCTAAATCCCTGACTTTATAAATAAATCCATGAAAGCATCCACAGAGGAAGGGAAAGGGAAAAAATCCTGTCCCATCCCAGCCCAGCCATGGCAGGGACACCTCCCGCTGTCCCCAGGGTCACCCCCACTGTCCCAGGCTGCTCCAGCCCCAATGTCCAGCCTGGCCTTGGGCACTGCCAGGGATCCAGGGACAGCCACAGCTGCTCTGGCAATTCCAGCCCAGCCCCTGCCCACCCTCCCAGGGAACAATTCCATCACAGGATCCCATCTAATCCCACTCTAATTCAGTTTAAAGCCATTCCCTGTGCCCTGTTCCTCCATCCCTTGTCCAAAGTCTTTCTCCACCTTTCCTGCAGCTCCTTCAGGCACGGGGAGGTCTCAGTGAGGTCACCCCAAACCTTCTCCCCTCTGAACAACCCCAATCCTGCCTTTCCTCATGGCAGAGCTGCTCCATCCCTCACCTGGAGCATTTCCTCCTCCTGGCTGAAAATCCCCAGAGCTGTCAGCTCCAGAGCTGGCACTGGTGCTGTAGGAAGACAGTGGGACAAATCCATGCTGATTTTGCATGAGAACATGGCCAGATTTTGGCATTTTAATTAACATTTTTAATGTTAAAGAGTTCAGAGGAGCCTGGGAGCTTCAGTGAGGACAGGTCCTTTTTTCCTCTCATCAAAGAACCTTTCTCCCCAGCAGCTCCCAGGCTGCTGAAGAGCTTTTGGAGGAAAGAGAGACTCTGGAAAAGGGAAGAGAAAGTGGGCTTTGAGTTAAAGGGGCTTTGCATGGCCCTGC